GTCACGAGCAAGGATGGAGGAGGGAGAGGACGGGGTGGGAAGTCTGCATGTGTCTTTATCTGGTACTTCATTTTTCCTCCACATATCGAGCTATTTTCATCGGCGGTGAACGAGCAGCATTTATATTGGGGCACGTCGGCCATGTTGTAAAGATAAGCGTCCGGCCACGAGGACAGGAGCTGCTCAGTTTCATCGCCGGCTAGTTCATACGCCGCAATAACTAATAAGACGACTTGCAGAGGAATCGTCCCTCTCCTCCCGCGCGCCGCCTCGAGTTTTTGGAACTTGTGCTCGGGTGGCGTAAGGGCGAGATTGGTTTTCCTCCGTACTCGTTACGAGGCTGCGCTAATCCTTCCTCTCTCTCTCTCTCTCTCTCTCTCTTCTTCTTCTTCTTCTTCTTCTTCTTCTTCTTCTTCTGTTCTCTCTCCCTCTCCCTCTCCCTCTCCCTCCCTCCCCCCCTCCCTCTTTTCTCCTTATCTATGTGTGGGAGGAAAGCGAAATTACCAATAGCCGAAGAAAACTTGTATTTGTTTTTAGAAGTTTCAATGGATATGGTGTAGTGTGTGTGTATGTGTACTTTCGAATATCTGTACCCACATGCCGAATGGATCGTGCACGGACAAGTCGCAGCTAGTCAGGCGTTCTGAACTAGATGTTAGCAGCACGAGGGAAGGATATTATCATAGACATTTTTACCCTCCCAAGTACCTACGTAATAGCAATCTTGTACCCAGTAGCGGGGCATCACCCACCCTCACGAGAGTCCGTCGGCGTCCCTTTCCGCGGCAGTTCTCGTGTGGCGCTGCATTGGCATGCGTCTAACAGGCTGGGATGCGTCATCACGCGTTCGTCACCCGGGCATGACACGGGGGGGTGGGGGGCGTACCCTATATCCCCTCGTTGAGGAGTCTATCGCGTGTCCGACGGCCTGTAGGGGAGGGAAGAACAATAAGGGGTGGCGGACAATGCAGCTTTTGTGCTTTTGTCTTGATTTTGTGCGGGGGTGTTCTTGAGTGCCCGGTGGTTGGGGAAACGGGAGAGACGTTGGTGTCGTTTTTAATTTAGTTGTATCTTCAATCATTCTTTAATATAACGGCTCTTCGTTAAATGTTCTTGGTATAACATTTGCCTGACGTGACGTTTGAGAACAATCTCTCTCTCTCTCTCTCTCTCTCTCTCTCTCTCTCTCTCTCTCTCTCTCTCTCTCTCTCATTCTCACTCTCACTTTCACTCTCACTCTCATTTCCTCTGCCCTCCCAACGTGTTTTTTTTTTTATATATATATCCTCGTCCCTCTGGTTTGGGTGCGAGGAAGGAAGGAAAAGAAGACAAGGTGCCGCTTGTATCTCGGGACACACTCCTACTTCACGCCCACTCTCCCGCCCGCCCCCCGCCCGTGTTCCTCCGCCCGCGCCCGTCGTATTCATTGGAGACAATAACGAGTAGCCTGGCACCCCGGATGCCTCATTTTCCCTCCACTTCGTCATAATTCCGGTTCAGGGCGGGGCTTGGGGTAGGGGTAAGGGTGAGGGGACTAAGGGGGGGGGAGAGGGGAGAAGGAGGGGGGGCTGTTGTGGGTGAGGGAAGTGAAAGTGTAATTGTCGCCACGTGTCTCGACTGTTATTTTTCTTTTCCTTTTTGGTAATTGGTAATTGTATTTGTTACCATGAATTATCATATTAGACGAGATATTAGCCGCTGCGATTTTGGGTTCGTCCAATTTGTCTGTATTTTTTTTGTTTTCATACTTGAAGAAATAAATAAGTAAATTGTACACTTCTAAACCACGCACCAGCAAGAGAAGAACTGAAAAAACTACAAGGAATGAAGGTTGAATGTACGGAGGTGTAGTGAGAGAGGACAGCGCCTCCTTGAGTGGACGGTCATGTCCCCCGGGCGGCGGCACCACCGCTTGTCACGAACCTTCTGCCTCCAGGTGGAAATTTGTCATTCGGGTGACGGTGTACACGGTGTAGGGGCGCCGCTCGCCGTGGCTGTTTTTGTAGTTTTTGTAGTTTACCTCGACTCTTTTTTTCTTTCTTTCTCTCTTTCTCTTTCTTTTTCTTTCTTTCTTCCCCTCTCTTTCTTTCTTTCTTTCTTCCCCTCTCTTTCTCTCTTTCTCTTTCTTTTTCTTTCTTTCTTCCCCTCTCTTTCTTTCTTTCTCTCTGTCTCCTATCCCCTCATATACATCTTCCTGATGATTATTCTCCTGCCCCCTCTGTTAGGTCACGGAGAGGAAGGCGGAGAGGTGAAAGCGTGGGTGGTGGGACGGGAGGTTAGGAGGCAGAAGGCTGGAAACCTCCTGGAAAGATACCTTCCCATTTTTTTCGTTATTACGGACCGAATGGTCGGCTTCCTCGGCGTTGGTTCCGTTGTTCACTTGGATCACGGAACGATGATATGCCGTTTTCCGAAGCGAGGATGAGGTGGAAACACGCCTCATACATGTAGGCAGAGCTGTAAAGTGGCGGTACAAGCCAACAGGAACTGTTAGTTCATGGACCCTCTTCGTAACCCACTCTTGTTTTTTTGGCGGGAACTTAAGTCTCTCGGCCACGCTTCTTGCTATTTTCGACCCGGGTTGTTGCTTTGACGAATATTGCAGAGGGATTGTCCTAACGTTTTCTCGTGGTATTAGATACAAGTTATGTAGCTAAATACAAGGATATTTGATAATGAATTAGAAATGGAGAAAAAAAATGCTCTGCCTGACGGCATCACCGGCCATCTCCCTCTCGCGCTGCAGCGTTATTAAGGTCTTCCCGTTAGCGCGTTGTCCCTTATACCACGTTTTTTCCCTCGTCGCGACAATTGCCACTGGAGTTCACCTCTATTTGAGTTGATTCGTATTACTAGCGTAAATTTAAGTTCTCCACCAGCATCGCTGAAGCAGCGTTACGCCGCTGTGATATTACAAAGGTGATAGGGGACGGCGGCGGGTGTTGGCAGCACTGGCGGGTGCTCACAGTTTGAAGGTCAAAGTGGGAGTGTTGCAGCAAACGCCTGCTTGGTACTTTTACAGTAGATCTTATCATTCGTCACCATGTACGGATATTTCCTCAATAAGTAGCCCCGTTTGGAGTGCGCATAATTCTGGCCATCTCCGTATCTATTTGTAGACTGGCGGTTGGGTATACCTTATTTGTAAATGAATTAAAAGTTCCTATCGGCCCGTTAAGGCAAACGCTGCACGAACATGGAACTTTTTGGGCTGCCATTGTACACTTGGTGTTCGCCCGTCTTGGTGCTCGGAGTTCTCAAAAGGATTTAATTGCCTTTTTTTCCCTCTTCTTTCTTCAACAATATGTCCTCATTGCGAGACTCGTAATCATGGGGGCGAGTGAGGGAGGAGAGCAAGAGAGAATGTGAGCGGGGTGTTTTTTTTTTTTTTTCCTCTAATGATAAATGGGGTCTTCTATTCATTTGTTTCATTTTAGACGCCATTAGTTCTTTATTATTTTATCAAAATGAAAGGGACGAGCAAGAATATCGCCGTCGAATCTTGATAAATTTGAAGGACTGTTTCCATGGGCTATGGAACACGGGTATTAAATTCATTGTTATACGTTTAGGTTTTCATTCGTGATCTATCTATTTTTCTTTCTTTTATTCTAGTCCCTTTTAGTATTCATGAAAGAATCTCAACGGCTTATATAAGGTGTTTGATTGACCATGACTGCTACTACTAAAACTATGTAAATTCAAATGTTAATGCCACTTTAATAGATATATAAATCGTCCCAAGTTCTTCCTAAGTCCGTTTCTTAGCAACATAGATGTTTTTATCAACCAGATTATGTGACTGAATGTGGCAACAGACAGGAAAGTAATGTTGATTAATTCAGTAAATGTATTGTAAGTGGCAGAGGGAAGTGTAACATACATGATTCAGGTATTTGTATTATCTTACAGAGGAAACTAATGAAAACATGTTTATTGATAAGATTATAGAAATGTGGTTGTGGGGGGGAGGGGTGACATTTTATTTTGTTACTCTGTATTTCATTATTCCTATCATTTATACACAGGACTATCTAGTGATTGAAGTTAGTTGGGTAAAGTATTTTGACCACATAAATGTATAACTTTATTCTTGTAAGGAAGTATGAGTGGCTGTTTTCAGTCTAAACATTCTTTGCTGAAAGGAGTAAGCTGTAGGAAAGATGACAGGTGAAAAGGTTTTAGTTCCTCTCCCAATATATTTAAAAAACTCAAATGACAGATGTTTTATTGTGTACAAGTACATTGACTGTGGGAGGAGGAGGATCCTGTTTGCCTAGCAGGAATGCTGCTTGTGCACAGTTCAGGTTCTCCAGTTTTGAGCCATAATGACTAGGCTGGGCAGGATACTGCATTACCCTGTTGGTGTGTTGATATACATGTTGTTAAATTAGTTAGATTACTTTTAGTGCATACTTCTCATCAGTGAAGGGAGATATTAAAAGAGTTGTCTGTGTATGTTGAATTATTAGTGCATTCCAGCTTCATGATTAATGATTGTCCTTTTAGATGTTTGGTCATTTGATATTGATAAGTCTTAGTGGGTTTTTCTTGACTGTCCGGTTGTTGTTATGGAACACAATTAATATTCAGTATGGGGAAATGAACAAGTTCTGTTGGCACGATGGTAAGGTCAGTGCCCTCAGATTTATGTGGGCAAAAGATGGATATTTACTACAGCAAGTCACCAAGTGTGCTTTTTGGTTGCTGAGTCATGCTAAGACCTGTCCCAAGCAATGACTGTTTTCTGGGTATTGTCATTGCTTATCCCCAGGGATTAGTCATTTGTGTGTGTGTGTTCGTGTACACGCATGTACATTAGTTTGAGCCTTGGTGATTCATGACATTTATTAAATTCTTGGAAATTCAAGAAGATAAATGTAATTTAGGGGTCCATTATTCATTGCATCTAGGCTTTCCTTTTGAATAGGATTACAGTCCTGATTAAGTGTTTGTTACCACCATGCAGTTTATACTAATGATTCTTTCTTTTCTTCCAGAACACATATGATCAGATCCCCAATGAAACAAAGTTCCAGTTACTGTTAACCAATGTTGTAAACAAAGCAGCAGGTGAAGATGCACGGACTATGGCGGCAGTCCTCCTCCGGAGGCTTCTCACATCAAATTTCGATGATGTGTTCCCAACGGTAAGTATTATTTCTGGAAGAGGCTGTGGTTATGGAAAAACTTTTTTTTTTTTTTTTTACAATCTAACTTTTTCACTTGTTAATCTTGTCTTTTATAATCCTTTTGCTCTTTTATTTTGAATCTTTCTATATTCTGATATCATTTGTATCATTTACTTGTATTTGACATTTTAATCACTTTTTTTCTTTTGCAAAAAGATGTGTAATTATTTGCTTATGTCTTACAGTTACCAGCTGAGGCCCAAGCCCAAGTTAGGGCACAGCTGTTGGCATCTGTACAACAAGAAGAAGACAGTAATATGCGCAAGAAGCTGTGTGACATAATCGGTGAATTGGCACACAATATGATCGATGATGAAGGAAATAACATGTGGCCAGAGTTCTTGCAGTTTTTGTTTGAGAGTGCCAGCTCTGCATCTATAGCTCACAAAGAAATTGCCTTGACACTTTTCAGGTAGGTGCTAGGGAATAGTACCACCACATTATTGTGTAATCTTGTTCAGATATAAAAATTGTTAATGTGTAAATTTTGTCATTGCAAAAGGTATAGTGTTCAAATAACTAAAGGCATAGCCATTTACTGGAATAGTCTAAACTTGAGCTATTCTTAAGCATCTTGAAACATATGATCTTAAGAGTTGTTTCACCTTCTTACAGTCTTGTACCTGGAGTGTTTGGCAACCAGCAGCAGCAGCACTTGGGTATGATCAAGGCTATGCTAACAGCTTCTCTAGCCGATGCTGCAAACCCTACAGTTCAGGCATTGGCTGTCAAGGCCACTGCAGCATTTATCCTGCTTCACGATAACGAACCAAACATCCAGAAGAGCTTTGCTGATATTCTACCATCTTTTCTCCAGGTACAGTATATTACCCAGGAGGCAAAATTTTTCATCAGTTTAAATTTGATTCTTGCTTAACTCCAAATGTCAAGAATGATGCTGTTTGAGATTAAAACATGGTTGATCAGCAAAACTGGACTTTCCCAACAGATCATCGCCACAAGCATCCAGGTTGGTGATGACGATGCCTTGCTCAAGTGCCTGGTTGACTTGGCAGAGAGTTGCCCTAAGTTCCTTCGGCCGCAAGTCGAGACCATCCTCCAGCTTGCCATTAAAGTGAGTGGGTTTGCCTGTGAACTGGTCTATTTGACATTTTAATCACTTTTTTTTCTTTTGCAAAAAGATGTGTAATTATTTGCTTATGTCTTACAGTTACCAGCTGAGGCCCAAGCCCAAGTTAGGGCACAGCTGTTGGCATCTGTACAACAAGAAGAAGACAGTAATATGCGCAAGAAGCTGTGTGACATAATCGGTGAATTGGCACACAATATGATCGATGATGAAGGAAATAACATGTGGCCAGAGTTCTTGCAGTTTTTGTTTGAGAGTGCCAGCTCTGCATCTATAGCTCACAAAGAAATTGCCTTGACACTTTTCAGGTAGGTGCTAGGGAATAGTACCACCACATTGTGTAATCTTGTTCTTCAGATATAAAAATTGTTAATGTGTAAATTTTGTCATTGCAAAAGGTATAGTGTTCAAATAACTAAAGGCATAGCCATTTACTGGAATAGTCTAAACTTGAGCTATTTTTAAGCATCCTGAAACACATGATCTTAAGAGTTGTTTCACCTTCTTACAGTCTTGTACCTGGAGTGTTTGGCAACCAGCAGCAGCAGCACTTGGGTATGATCAAGGCTATGCTAACAGCTTCTCTAGCCGATGCTGCAAACCCTACAGTTCAGGCATTGGCTGTCAAGGCCACTGCAGCATTTATCCTGCTTCACGATAACGAACCAAACATCCAGAAGAGCTTTGCTGATATTCTACCATCTTTTCTCCAGGTACAGTATAATACCCAGGAGGCAAAATTTTTCATCAGTTTAAATTTGATTCTTGCTTAACTCCAAATGTCAAGAATGATGCTGTTTGAGATTAAAACATAGTTGATCAGCAAAACTGGACTTTCCCAACAGATCATCGCCACAAGCATCCAGGTTGGTGATGACGATGCCTTGCTCAAGTGCCTGGTTGACTTGGCAGAGAGTTGCCCTAAGTTCCTTCGGCCGCAAGTCGAGACCATCCTCCAGCTTGCCATTAAAGTGAGTGGGTTGGCCCGTGAACTAGTCATTTTTTTTTTTTTTTTTTTTTTTTTTTTTTTTTTTTTTTTTTTTTTTTTTTTTTTTTTTTTTTTTTTTTTTTTTTTTTTTTTTTTTTTTTTTTTTTTTTTTTTTTTTTTTTTTTTTTTTTTTTTTTTTTTCCATTTCATTTCATTGTATTGGTTATTGAGTACTTGCAGAAATATATGGACATTACAGATGGTTTTATTTGGGTTATTATAATTTTCTTGTGTTTCTAATTGGTCTTTTCCCTTTGACCTCTGATAGGCTCTACCAGATCCCAACGTAGGTGACAGTTGGAAACATCTGTTGTTGGAAGTTGTAGTAACTTTGGCCGAGACAGCCCCAGCGATGGTGCGAAAGGCTGGTGCCAAGTACATGAACACGCTCATCCCACAGATGTTAACAATGATGACAGATCTTGAAGATGAGGAGGTAGTTTATACATTGTTTTTGGTATTCAATTTAATGTATCTGGAATAACCATGGTATTGACAGCAGTTTCTTCAGCCTTCATTTATGAATTGTATATATTTTCCAGTCATTACTAAATTTTTTCTATGCGCCATTTTCTTCTGGAACAGGAATGGAGTGTGAGTGATGAGCAGGCTGAGGAAGACAATGACAGCAACTCTGTAGTAGCCGAATCTTCTCTTGATCGCCTTGCATGTGGTCTTGGTGGCAAGACTGTTTTGCCACACATCAACTCCACTCTTTCACAAATGCTCCAGAGTGACAGTTGGAAGTGCCGCCACGCTGCTCTGATGGCCATCTCAGCTGTGGGGGAGGGCTGCCACAAGCAGATGGAGGGCATGTTGCCGCAGGTGTGTACTTTAACTTTAAGTCTGGAATTTTGGTGATAAGGTTAATGGATACTTTTGGTGACAGCTAGTTTTGTCACATTACTGGAAACAGTTTTATATTATATAATTTTCATGGAAATATTCATCATGATGTAGAATTTTTAGATTTTAGAATGTTTAACAAGACAAACTATTTTAGATCTGGTAAATTTCACAAAATGGCAACTAAAGGCAATGTACTCTTTCAGATTATGGATGCTGTCATCAGGTTCCTGCAGGATCCCCATCCGAGAGTTAGATATGCAGCATGTAATGCCATTGGCCAGATGGCAACAGACTTTGCTCCAATCTTCCAGAAGAAATTCCATGACACAGTTGTTCCTGGTCTCCTCCTGGTGATGGATGACAGTGCTAACCCAAGAGTCCAGGTGGGTTTTCATCCATGGTTCTGTTTTTCAATATGTCTTGGACTCTACAAACTCAAAATAATAACAGTGATAATAAAATAAGATAATTAGTAAATCTTTGAGCAGTTTCTGTGTACTTTTTGTTGCTTATTTTTCAGGTTTTACCCCTTTCTTAACATAAAATTGTCTCTTTTCAATAGGCTCATGCTGGAGCTGCCCTGGTCAACTTCTCTGAGGTCTGCCCTAAGAACATTCTAACAACCTACTTGCCTACCATTATTGCCAAGCTAGAGAGCATTCTTGCTGCCAAGTTTAAGGAAGTGAGTTGTTTTCTTGTGTGTTCTACATTTTGTCTTGGTTCCCCTTTCTTAGTTTTACCATACAAGGTGAATACAAGTTTGTTCAGGAAGTTAAAAAGGTGTGTCTTAGTATATCCATATTCATAACCGAGTAAGATTTCTTTAATTGAAATTTGCATTTATTTTGAGCAGTTGATGGAGCGTGGCACAAAGCTGGTCCTGGAGCAAGTGGTGACCACCATTGCGTCGGTGGCAGACACAGCAGAGGAGAACTTTGTAGAGTATTATGACCGGTTTATTCCCTGCCTCATGTACATCATTGAAAATGCCAGCTCTCAAGAACTTAGATTACTCAGAGGCAAGACAATTGAGTGCGTGTCTCTGATTGGTCTGGCTGTTGGAGCCGACAAGGTAGGTTTCTTTATTGACAGTATTTCCTGAAAATTCTCGAAGATAAAAGAATTCTATGAATATAAATCCTTATCTTGGTAATGGTTTAAGTGTCACTTATTCTGAAAAGAATATCCGGTTTTATACTAAATCTTCTCCCACAGTTCCTGACTGATGCTGGGAAGATGATGGACCTTTTGTTGAAGGCCCAGACCAACCAGGAAGAAATGGCAGATGACGATCCACAGGTTTCTTACCTTATCTCTGCTTGGGCTCGTATCTGTAAAATCATGGGCAAACGCTTTGAGCCCTATCTGCCTTTGGTAATGGGTCCGGTACTTAAGACTGCATCTCTGAAGCCTGAGGTGAGGATAATGATCTTTCTCAATGTGTGATGACCTAGAAAGAGGTGATTGTTCTCAGTCTATTTGAATATTAAATAATAATCATTGTTACTGGAATGTAATGTTTAACAAACTTTTTAGGTTGCTCTGTTGGACAATGAGGACATGAGTGCTGTTGATGGTGACGATGACTGGCAGTTCGTGTCAATTGGAGAGCAACAGAACTTTGGTATCCGCACAGCAGGGCTTGAGGAGAAGGCTACAGCTTGCCAGATGCTTGTCTGTTATGCTAGAGAACTGAAGGATGGATTTGCAGATTACACAGAACAGGTTAGTCAGATTGAAGAGATTGTGGGTAATTTTTCTTAAGTGTGTGCCTGTTTCTTTATACATGTAAACATAAATATGAACATAGACCAAATCTGTTCATTGTTATTTTTTTACTTAACAGGTTGTGAAACTGATGGTGCCTATGCTGAAGTTCTATTTCCATGATGGAGTCCGAACAGCTGCTGCCGAGTCTTTGCCTTTCCTCTTAGAATGTGCCAAGATCAAGGGGCCGCAGTACTTATCTGAAATGTGGCAGTACATGTGCCCTGAGCTGCTCAAGGCCATTGAGACTGAGCCAGAGTGTGAGGTTCTATCTGAACACATGTATGCAATGGCCAAGTGTATTGAAGTCCTCGGAATGGGCTGCCTCACTAACGACCAGATTACAGAGCTGATTAGAATACTAGAGAAATCCCTGACTGACCACTTTGAAAGATCTGTCAAGAGGCAAGAGCAGAGGAAGGATGAGGATTATGATGAGGTAAAACTTTTTTTTTTTTTTTTTTTTTTTTTTTCACTTGTTGAATATTACATTGAATAAACGATCCTTTACTCGACACTACTAGCTTGAAGACATCTTTATATTATCATCTCATGAATTTCTTGCGACTCCATGTAGGAATGTGATGATGCCCATATACAGAAATACAAGTCCTGGATGTTCTTGGCTCCTCCATATTTCATCATTTGACATAAACATTGCACAACAACACACATACCTACATGATATTTCTGAATGTTTTTTCATATACTGCATACAGATTTTTATACTTTGCTGATAAACTAGTTCAGCTTGAATATTATGTTGTTCTCCAATCTGATTACATAGTTTTTCCTATGCTCATCCTGCAGTATGTGTGTATATAATGCTTTAACCATGCTAGGTCACTATTTATGGAATCCAAACAGTTTTCCTTGAAAGTAAAAGACCCATATTATTGCATCACTAGACCATTAGCTTTCTGACCTTCATGTGTAAACATACATGGTTCTTGCCTGTATTGTAGCACAGGTTTTAGGAGAGTTCTCATTACCTCGAGTTCAAATTGCATCTGCATGTCAGATCATTCAAGATATTGCCTTCACACTCGTTCTTATTTACTAGTACCAAACTACTAATGTGTAATTTATTTCCATATGTACACCCTTGTAAAGAAAGATGGTGTTAAAAGAAAAGTTCATTGTCCATCCTAACATTTTCTTGTTTCCTTACAGGTTGTAGAAGAACAGTTACTAGATGAGGATGACGAAGATGTCTATGTTTTGAGTAAAGTAGCTGACATCACCCATGCACTCTTCGCTGCTTATGGCCAGCACTTCTTCCCGTTCTTTGACATTCTTTTGCCCCATCTCGTAAAATTGTTGGGCCCCACCAGACCTTGGCCAGATCACCAGTGGGGTCTTTGCATTTTTGATGATGTCATAGAATATGGTGGCCCAGCATGTGACAAATACACAGATCATTTTCTACAGGTGAGTGTTTCATTTCATTTTTGTGTGTTTGTTTCTCTCTCTCTCTCTCTCTCTCTCTCTCTCTCTCTCTCTCTCTCTCTCTCTCTCTCTCTCTCTCTCTCTCTCTCTCTTTTCCTCTCTTCTTTTATTCTGCTCTGTTCTCTCTTGCCCTCACTTTCTTTCTTTTCCATTTACAAAAGAAAAAAAAAATCAATAAACTAATTCTTTGTTTTTGTTCTTTGCAGTTGTTGCTAGGCTTCGTAGGAGACAAGCAGGGTGAAGTAAGACAAGCAGCAGCCTATGGTTGTGGTGTTTTGGGACAGTTTGCAGGGCCTGCATTTGCCACAGTTTGTGCACAGGCTATTCCCCTTTTAGTTCAGGTTATCCAGAGTCCAGATGCAAGAAGTGAAGTCAACCTTAACCCAACTGAAAATGCTATTGCTGCAGTTACCAAGATCCTAAAGTATAATAATTCAGCTGTAAATGTTGATGAGGTAAGTTTTGATTTTCCCTTTTTCAAGTACACCTACAGATGTGTTATGCATTTCATGTATATAATTATCATTTTCTTCGATTAACTTCTTATTCTCTTTGTAGGTGATCCCAGTGTGGCTTTCATGGTTACCAGTCTGGGAAGACACAGATGAAGCCCCACATGTATATGGGTATTTGTGTGATCTTATTGACGGCAACCATCCACTCGTCTTGGGACCAAACAACTCCAACTTGCCACGTCTGATGCTCATCTTCTCTGAGGTAAATTTTGCTGCTGTCGATTCAGATTACAGTTGGTTGGTATGGTTGATCATTAGTTGATTTCTTATTTTGCATGAAATGTGCCAGAGAAAATAGATTTAGCAGGAAATTATTTGGTCATCCACGAAAGGAGCCCCACTGAGTCTCTCCTCTTCTTTTAGGCTTTCAGGAGAGAAGCTGTAGAGAAGGAGGCAGAAGTTACGCAACGCATGCTCAACATCGTCCGACAGTTACAAGCAAATCCTGAAGTGTTCCAAGCCTGTATTAGCCAATTATCACAGGAACAACAGTTGGCACTTCATAAATACCTCACAACCTAGTTCTACAGTGTGCACATAGGCCTTTTAATTGTTTAGCTTTTGTTCCAGTTATAAATATATAATCAACTGATTGTTATCACGAGTTGGGAAAGTAATATGCCGTGTGCGCTTGTGCGAGTGACTGCATGTACGCTTGTTTGTGTGTCAGTGTGAATGGTTGAAATATTCTAAGCACATGATGCATCTCAAACAGAAGCAGCCATTGTGTCAACATTTTCCAAAAGTAACTTAAAAGAAAGAAAGAAAAAATACTTTATTGCATCAATACGTCCGTTTGTGTTCAAGCTCAGTTGCTGTGAGCTGCCACAAATAGCCCTTGAGAGGTGGTTGACTGACTTTCAGGGCTAAAGTAAGTTATTGATAAGCTGTTATGTGATCTTAGTGCAAGAGGTAAAGTTTAAATGACTTTTTTTTTTTTTTTATTTTTTTTTACTATTGTTATTTGATAGTGATATTAAGTAAAGGTCCTAAATATGGCTAGATCAGAACTGTTCATAAGCATAATTTTCTCTTATGTCCATCTTAGATCTCTAGATGTTACAAGAAGATATGTTTGCTCCAATATTACTTTCCTATCATACACTTCATGTATAAATATCATGTGCATATTTATAGTTAAATAAATTTTCCTAATGACCTTATTATTACTTTATTTTTATTTTTTATTTAATTTTAAAAGAACATTCTATAGGAACACTTTATAAAGATACAGTCTCCCAGCATTTTATTAGATTTATTTATCACAAGTTTGTACTGCTTGGACTACTTCCATTCTGAGATCCAGGGCTTGCTTTGTACGCTGAAAGATCGAAGACAAAGAACCCCAGGACAAGTTTAGCTGAGAGTTATACCACGTCATGCTTTTCTGCAAGGTTGAAAATTAATATTCATTGTGAATGTGGTACTTAGTCTAGCTTTTGGAGGCTCTCTTTCATTATTATTGTTGTTGTTGTTTAAATAGTATATTTATTCATATACGTGATTTTCATTTCGGTCTGTACATTGGTTGGAAGGAAATGTTAGATGAAGTGTTAATTTTTTGTGCCTGGATTCAAATATAATTTTTTTTCTTTTTATTTACATTATTATTATTATTATTATTATTATTATTATTATTATTATTATACCCCCCTGGTTAGTATCCCATGGGACTGGTCCAGCATCTGCCTCATGCATTAGTATACCTTTTCCCTTCATACAAGCAACCATCTTACCCTTGTTAGTTAGACTTTACTCATTCTGTACTCACTATTATATATTCCATGCAAGTGAATATCCATGAGTGTTTGTGTGTGCGCATGTGTTTTTGTGTGTTTGTATATATATACATATATACTTTGTGTGTCTTATTTATATGTTTGATCACATCCTACAATTTCTGTATGCTGCACAACATGAGTGAAGTGCAGTTGGTGGATTTGACACCTCTTCCTTTCTGTGAGGGTAAAAATGCCTTGATGCAAGTATAATATAGCATTACTATTTAAAGTGTATTTGTACTGTACAGTTATCTGATAACTAACAAGGGTAAGCACACAACTCCTTTTTACCAGTCTTGTTTGGCAGTGGTCTACCGGACAATATACGGATATATTGAGTGCTCTCTCCTCCACAAATCTCTCTATTGTTTTGGCATACTGGTGAAGTATGTTGCTGTTAAATTTATGGAGATATAGTTTGTGAAAGTGGTTGAATTTATTCTAAATAAGTGATGAATGTTGGATAATTATTCTTTTTGTTTTTTGTTTTTTTACTTTTATTGGTGACATACTGGCATTCTGAAACCCATGGAGCCGTTTGTTTGTATACAACTAGACTGCAAATGGTTTTTATCACTTTGCATGAAATTTATTGAACTGACCAGTGTTTATGGATGCAACATGGCAGCCAGATTGTGGAGGGTGGAGCACCTCAGTGAACTCATCAGTATAAGTACCAAAGAAAAGCTTGTGGAATCCTGTAGTTTGGTGTCTCCAGTCTGTAACCTAGACTCTGAAACCCTTCAGTTCGCTTCCTTGGAACAATATGAAAAGGCAGTTACTTTGTCAGTCCATTGTGATTACCCTTGATATGCAAGAACAGCTGTTTTGAAGCTTCAGTCAACAATATACAAAATTTGTTGCTTCCTTTTGGAGCCACATTCCAGTTGTGATGGCCAGTGATAGGTGTGAAATAATTAATACTTTAGTTATTGGACATTGCATCATCTGGTCTTCTTACATAGCCGTTGTAATAAGAGAACATGCTGAAAGTATGTTTTTTTTTTCCATGTACAGTAGTATATGGTTATCAGAAAAGGGATCTGATAACCTTGTCATTGGTCTGACCTTGTATTCCATCAGTTGTAACGAGAGCTGAAGTAACGTTTTAGATCTTGGTATTTCATACCTCTGCATGTTACCCTGTCTCAGGCCCCAACTTCTGATGCTGCTCTTCCCTGGTCATGTGTTGTCGGCCTATTTTTATACATATCTCGCCTGCTCGCATCTAGGGTTTTTGTAGAAAGCTTGAGAAGTAGGGATTCACGCATCCATTTTATTTCACCTGCACCTCCCTCTAGCAGTTTGGGGCCCCAGTCAATATTCAAGTTCTGGATACTTCGATGCGCCAACTTCATAGATGGCACACCGACATACATTTTCATTTTTGTTTTTCTTTGTTTTTATACATGAACACCAGGGTAAGTTAGCATTCACTTGTACTAACGAAACTTGTGTCATACTGCCATTGAAAGTATTGTTACACCACATTATTTCCTCCTATGAATTCTACGATTTTTTCCTCTAGAGAACTTAGAAATGATTACACTATAAAAGGTCAGTCTTACATTAAGGCCGTATGGAAGATGGTTGTTCCTGAGCAGTCTGTTTTTTTTTTGTTTTTTACTTTTATTGGTGACATACTGGCATTCTGAAACCCATGGAGCCGTTTGTTTGTATACAACTAGACTGCAAATGGTTTTTATCACTTTGCATGAAATTTATTGAACTGACCAGTGTTTATGGATGCAACATGGCAGCCAGATTGTGGAGGGTGGAGCACCTCAGTGAACTCATCAGTATAAGTACCAAAGAAAAGCTTGTGGAATCCTGTAGTTTGGTGTCTCCAGTCTGTAACCTAGACTCTGAAACCCTTCAGTTCGCTTCCTTGGAACAATATGAAAAGGCAGTTACTTTGTCAGTCCATTGTGATTACCCTTGATATGCAAGAACAGCTGTTTTGAAGCTTCAGTCAACAATATACAAAATTTGTTGCTTCCTTTTGGAGCCACATTCCAGTTGTGATGGCCAGTGATAGGTGTGAAATAATTAATACTTTAGTTATTGGACATTGCATCATCTGGTCTTCTTACATAGCCGTTGTAATAAGAGAACATGCTGAAAGTATGTTTTTTTTTCCATGTACAGTAGTATATGGTTATCAGAAAAGGGATCTGATAACCTTGTCATTGGTCTGACCTTGTATTCCATCAGTTGTAACGAGAGCTGAAGTAACGTTTTAGATCTTGGTATTTCATACCTCTGCATGTTACCCTGTCTCAGGCCCCAACTTCTGATGCTGCTCTTCCCTGGTCATGTGTTGTCGGCCTATTTTTATACATATCTCGCCTGCTCGCATCTAGGGTTTTTGTAGAAAGCTTGAGAAGTAGGGATTCACGCATCCATTTTATTTCACCTGCACCTCCCTCTAGCAGTTTGGGGCCCCAGTCAATATTCAAGTTCTGGATACTTCGATGCGCCAACTTCATAGATGGCACACCGACATACATTTTCATTTTTGTTTTTCTTTGTTTTTATACATGAACACCAGGGTAAGTTAGCATTCACTTGTACTAACGAAACTTGTGTCATACTGCCATTGAAAGTATTGTTACACCACATTATTTCCTCCTATGAATTCTACGATTTTTTCCTCTAGAGAACTTAGAAATGATTACACTATAAAAGGTCAGTCTTACATTAAGGCCGTATGGAAGATGGTTGTTCCTGAGCAGTCTGTTTTTTGTTAATCTAATTAAGTTGATTGGCAGCCAGTCCTTCACAGTGTAGACAGTGAATGGCGGAAATGATCCAAGGTTGGTTAGGTCATATACATTTGACTGGATTCTGAAACCACGTGACACAAGTCATGATTCAAATAAGACGAACATTAACTTCAAGTAACTGTCTTCGGGGAAATTGGATTACGACACGAGCCTGCAAAAGACAGCTGCTAGGTTAGGAGGAGATATTGATGTTTTGAGAGACAGTGATTTAGTGGTTTTTCAGAATTTGAGCCTTCTCAGTGGGTAGAGGCCTCCTGTACATAAACCTCCACTCAGTATCAATAAATTGTATCATCTGATGAATGCTGTTTTTATATTATTCCTTGACCTTATTTTTGTTTTGTTTTTTGTTTCTACCTTAAATTATAAAAGATCATGGAAGCCCACAAGGCAGACTTCTCAGTTTAAAATATCAAAATATTGTAAGGGATAAGGTGATCGCCAAGACTTGAGAAAAAACAAGTTTATATTAGTCCCTTTGTGTGGTATAAACCACATTTATTCGGAACTAATTATTATTCACTCCATTAATTGTTCTGGAATTATGTTAATAAATCATTTATTCGAAAATGTCATTCAGGTTTTAGTGCATAAAACCGACATAATTTCGTCTAATAAAACGTATGTTGAATAGACACTCACCCAAATGATTGTTGTTTAAGTAAACTAAATACACTACACAATAAATGGTAGGAGATAGTCTCATGAAATAATGTGATAACACCCCTCAATCCCTTGCTCGTTGTTGGGGTTGGGGTTGAAGGCTCATGAGACGGGCTGTGAGGCCCTAGTGTAGGGAATCCCTCCTACCTTGGTTCTCGGCCCTCGCCTGTGGTAATTTCGCATGGTCTTTTCTTCTTTCCTATTCCTTTTCTTCACCCCCTTGTTCTGTCCACTTATCCTCATCGTTAAACTCATTTTGCCATTTTTGCCACAATACTTTATCATAATGCTCCCTACTCCCTTAACTCCTTCCCCTTCTAACAACCTTTATTTTATACTATACCCCACCAGTTCCCCATTCTACTCTTTTCACTACCATACTACCCTGTAGTATTGTTCAACGTATAACTTTACCTTAAATCATTCCTAACCCTTTTCGCTACTGTAATTTACCATAATTTACCATGACTTTTACCATAAACTATCATGACTTGATAGTTTATAGTAAAGACTTGAAGGCTTTGCCCCCAAGCCTTACGTCATCTCTATATTTTGAATACGCCGCTAAGGACTCCAGATGTTGATGCGGTAGAGTTTTTTCAGTAAGTAAATAACATTGCGATCACATATTTGGCAAACAACATACAGGCATCCTACTAAATAGGCACAGATTTCGTTTATATTACAATTGTGCAACTAACACCAAGGGAGGGAACCTTCCATAAACTGAAAATAATTAACAATTCTGCAGAGCAAATGTTTTAATAAAATATTGTATAAGGTTTTCAGTATTTAGTGTGCACTCCTGTTTTAAGACTATAGGTCTGTGGTATTCTGGCAAAAGGTGATTTATATTTATTTTAACTGGTAATGACTACTTTCCCTCTCTAAACTTACTGCTTCATTAGCACTACGAACAGTGCGCTATCTCTTGTGCATTCCACGCTTTCCGGAATCAAGAGGGAAGCCGCTGACAGTATATACATACATTTCTAAACCTTCGCCGCCGACATTTCCACGTTGTCGCATAGGAGAAAAGGGCCCAGACGAAATGCATTAACCTTGCCTCACCTGTTGGATATCCTCTCAGAATCCCCTACCTTTTCCTTTGACAACTTATTCTCCCTCCTCAGACGCAAAAATATCTTCCATTTGATCTAATTGTCCTACACCCTTAACTCCCGGAGCACGAGCTGCAATTAAGTGGGGACAACAAGAATGTATGTGTGAGGCTGCAAGAACAACCATTATAAGGCCATCAGCGGGTAATAAGGGTGCAAATATGTGTAGGAGAAGGAGGAGGAGAGTCCGGGGACTGATAAGGACCCAGGGGAAGGTGAAGTATCGGGAAGGAAAGGATCCAAGGAAGAACACTGTTATGACAGGATGGAGTGGAAGGGATAACGGGTAAAGAAGTGGAGGTGCAGATTTAGAAGGGGAGGATGGGGAGTAGGAGGAAGAAGGGTAGAGGGAGCATGATAGATGTCGGCAGTCCTTTTGAATGTAGAAGGAATTCGAGTAGAGAGACTGGAGGATGGATGAAGGAGAGGAGTGTTTTCTTAGGTCATATTTAGGATGTATTGAATATCCAAGTTTCTGGAGGGAAGCTGGATGAGGATATCTGAGAAACTAAAGTGGGAGAAGAGACAGGACGTTCGTGGAGCAGAGGAAAAGGTAAGGATGTGGTAGAAAATATTGGGTTCAACGTTCAGATTACCTGGTGCGACAAATAAGGGAGGAGGAGGGATAGGCACCGTGGAAGTGGTAGATGTTGGAGTATCTGGACTTAGACTGGCAAA